GAACTTGTCGGCTTCTACACGCTTGTGAGCCATTTATCTAAGATAAATTTCTCTCTCTCTCTCTCTCTTTCTCTCTCTATAAATATATATATATATACTTTGCTGGTTTTTGTGTTTCTCTAGAGAACCCAATCCAACACACTGAGCAAAAGAGTATGGAGAACCCAACACAGAAATGGGGAGAATGCTGATACATTGTGGGGATAGCAACCAATGTCAGGAAATAATCTGTGTATAAATTGCTGAATAGGAAACTAATTTGCTCTGTAAACTTTCACCTAAACTACAAGAAAATATGGGAGGGGGGAGCACCTTTCTGGATCAAAACAGAACATTGTCCAATTCATTCGCTTTAGCACATCAGGTAGGATTAATTGCTGGAGAAGGATATCATGTTGGTGAAGGGCGAGTGAGGAGCAAGACCCTAGGATAGATGTATTGGCACATTGCTACAACAATGAACTGAAACATGCTGGTAACTGTGAGGATGACACAGGACTGATTTGTTGTACATAAGGGTACGATGAGTCAGAGTGAACTCTATAGCAGCCATCTATCTATTTGTATACTGATATCTTAGAGATATCAGTACAAGTGCTTCAGTGTTTTTATTAGCAGAAAATCAAACCCAAACTTCAAGCTAGTGACTTGTCTTCCCATTTACACTCACACTACTATTTAAAATAACCAGTGAGAGGTGCAGTACCCGGGAAGTCCCTAGGATTCCTACTCTTCTTGATAGCTCATCCATAGATTTACAGGCTTTTCATATTTTGCTGCATTGTTAGTTGTTTTCAGTGGAAGGGTGGTTTATGGTATCTAGTCTGTTGTGTAGCCAGCGACAAGAGACCTAGCCTTTCTCCTGAATTACAGGACTTAGAATCTTTTCCTTCAAAGCTCTCCAGCTGAATAAGAACAATTGAGGCTGTGTCCGTAGCCACAGTCCTGAGAGAGATGCCCCATTCTGGTCCCATCCTCTTTGGAATCATTTAGCACTGAGGACTCAGACTGGCATGTGACTCTCTGACAGCGGCATTATGTTGGGTCCTCCCCCATCAAATGCTGCACCTCCTTCTGTCACAGGCTCCAGTGCCCCACATCTTCCAGCTTTTATCCCAGATACCAGAGCCTCTGTAACTGCCCTATTTATACGTGGTCATAGCTTTTAGTCAGTGAGCCTCATGTCTCTATCCTGCTTTTACTTCCTGTCCCAGGTAGAACAAAACCAGTTGCCATCAAGTCAACTCCAACTCATGGCAACCTTATGTATGTCATCAGGGTAGAACTGTGCTCCATCGGGTTTTCAATGGCTTTTTTTTTTTTTTTTTTTTTTTTAAGCAGATTACCAGGGCTTTCTACCAAGGTGCCTCTGTGTGAACTTGAATCTCTAACCTTTGGGATAGTAGCTGAGTATGTTAACCATTTGTACCACCCAAGGACTCCTGTCCCAGGTAGGAAGGGGCACTGTGCTTGAGTTCTACCCTGAACACTCTAGGACACTGATTTTTTTGTCCTCCCAACACCTACCCTCCCAGAACACTGATATTTTTTTAGAATAAACAAACCAGTCTCTGAGTTCCTGCTCTATGACCAGAACCTTGTGACTCATGGAAGTGAGGATGAGGTGGCAAGTTTTGAGACTAAAAGGTGGAAGTCTGAACCAAAAAGAGAATGTGACAAAACTGGGGTAATGCTTTTTGAGTGAGGCTGGGTGTAGAAGGACAAGAATTTGTCCATGGGAGACAGCCTGACCTCTTGTATTTATTATTGCTAATCATCACAGAGCTCTGATAGCATAGCGTCTAAGGCACTTGACTGCTAAACAGAAGGCTGGCGGATGAGTAGACACGAAGGCACATAACAACAATCATCACAGAAGCAAACCTTCCTTTTTAGTCAGGGTTTTCTCAAAGAGCCATCATCGAGGGCCCCCTTGTGTCTGAAAGAATTAAAACCTGAAAAGCAATCCTTGCAAAATGGCTGAAGGCCTATATAAACAAACAAAAAAAACACCTCCCTTCCATCTAGTCCATTCCAACTCATAGCAAGCCCCCCACCTTGGGTTTCTGAGGCGGTATCTCTACAGAAGCAGATTGACCAGTCTTCCTTCTCAGGAGTGATTGGTGGGTTTGAACCACCAGCCTTCTGGTTAGCAGTCAAGTGCCTTAGGCACTGCGCCACCAGAGCTCCCTAAACCTATATAGTAGCCCTTGATTAGCATTAGCAGGAAATGGCACTGGATGGCACCACCACACCACAATGGTCATGAATTTGCTGCCTTCCCATAACACCCAATAATACAGACCCTTGCTTATTATCAAGTAGGTGTCTGACTCCTCCATGTAAATTAAATGCATCTCCTCTCCCACATTCTTTCTTTTTGTTGGTTCTTGCACTCAGTCAGGATCCTGGTCAGGTCCTCAGCCTCTCCCTGAGAAGCAGGAGCCTAGGAATTCATTGTCCCAGCAATGATCTAGTGGTTCACTGCCACCAAGCCTTTGCTCTTTCAGGCATTTTAAATAGAGAGACAGGACAGAGTGCTCACATTGTGTAAGAAGACAAATCACAAATACGAGTTGGTGCTTGATTTTCCTGTAATAAAAACACTGTGGCACTTGCACTAATTGGGACAGCTCTTACTGTTCACCTGCTGTCTGGGATTCTGCCTCCTGCCACTGTGCCACTATATAATAAGTGCTCAATTATATTGGCAAGGATGCTGTCTTGTATCTGGGGCATAAGTCCAAACATGTTTGAAAACAGGATTGACAGTTCATACTTTTAGTTCTGAAATGCAAATATTGTTGTTGTTGTTGTTGTTAAGTGCCACCGAGTCATTTCCGACTCATAGCGACCCCATGCACAGCAGAACGAAACACTGCCCGATCCCGCGCCAGCCCCACAATCCCTGCTATACTTGATCCTATCATCGCAGCCACCGTATCAATCCATCTCGTTGAAGGCCTCCCCCTCTTTCGTCGACCCTCCACCCTCCCAAGCATGACATCCTTCTCCAGGGAATGGTCCCTTCTTACAACATGACCAAAATAGGTGAGACGAAGTCTGGCCATTCTTGCTTCCAAGGAACATTCTGGCTGCACTTCCTCCGGGACAGATCTGTTAGTTCTTTTAGCAGTCCATGGTACTTTCAGCATTCTCCGCCAGCACCACAACTCAAAAGCATCAACTCTTCTTCGGTCTTCCTTATTCATTGTCCAGCTCTCACATGCATACCAGGCGATTGGAAATATCATGGCTTGTGTCAGGCACACCTTAGTCCTCAATGAGATATCCTTGCTCCTCAGCACTTGAAACAGTTCCTTCACAGTTGACTTTCCCAATGCTACACGTCGTCTAATGTCCTGACTGCTGCTTCCGTTGGCATCGATTGTAGAACCAAGCAACGTGAATTCTTTGACAACCTCAATCTTCTCTCCATTTATTGTGATGCTGCTCATTGGTCCAGTTGTGAGGATTTTTGTTTTCTTTATGTTGAGATGTAATCCATACTGCAGACTGTATTCTTCAACCTTCATCAGTAGGTGCCTTAAGTCATCCTCACTTTCAGCAAGCAAAGTTGTATCATCTGCATATCTCAGGATGTTAATGATTCTTCCTCCGATCCTGATACCACGTTTTTCTTCATATAGTCCAGCTTCTCGGATTATTTGCTAATGCAAATATTAGAAGTCTGCAAATATCCATTTGAGTAACAAAGGACAAAAATAATATATATTTGTATTTGTATTTTCTTACGCAGGTATCAAATATAACTGGAAGGATATACAAATGGTAACTGTTTGCCTGTGGGGAGCAGAACTAGGTGGTTAGCCGGCAGGCTGAAAAGAAGACTTGCAACAGTTATACCTTCTTATGCTTTTTGGCTCTTTAGACCATATGAATATATAGTGAAACCTGTGAGAGCCAGAACTTGATGGGATTGCCTTGTTTTTCCAGGTCTTGCAAGTTTTCTGTGTTTGACAGGGTGCTGGCTTATCACTTTTTTCCTTCTTCTTTTAGTGGAAAATATTTGAGTTTTCCTTCCTTGATAGCTTTCCTCCTTATGCACGTTCTAGATTTCACAGGTTTTAATCAATTATTATAACCCAATATATAGCAGCTCAGGTGGCATAGTGCCCAAGGCATTTGACCGCTAACCAGAAGGCTGGCGGTTCAAACCCACCAGCCACTCCTCAGAAGGAAGGTTGGCCAATCTATTTCCATAGTGATACCACCTCAGAAACCCAAGGAGGGGTCGCTATGTGTTGGATCCAACTCCATGGCAGGGAGTTTGGTTTTTTATATATAGTATCATGAAAGAGCTGGGATCGCTGCAGCCTGGCATCAGTTTAGACATCATGGACACAGCAATTCTAGGGGCAAGCTCTCATTCACAAATGTGCATGTTTTTTAATGGCACAAAGAAAGTGTATTTTATATTTAAAAATTCTTAATTAAAACATTCCAGCAACAGGACAATGATTTGTAAATTCTTTATTCAGCAAATTGCTATTGCACTCATAACTACCACTTGATTTATAATAGTTGAGAGTCATTCACTAGACACTGTTGTTTTTAGACACTAAATATTAAGAAGAGACCAGAGAGATTGTAGAATGGGATCAGGAGAGAAAAAAAGGAGCTCAAAGGAGAACATGAGGTTCTGTCAGTCCTCATTAACTGCAGTAACCAGATCCGATCCCACTTAAATACCAGCCTCCCCAAAAAGGTTTTCAGAAAAAGACTCCATAACCATACTCACCAGACAAAAAAATGTCAATATTTTTAGAAGAGATTTCTTTGACACAAAAGACCCTATATAGAGCACCATGACAAAGCTGGGATCACTGCAGCCTGGCATCAGTTAAGACATAGTGGACACAGCAAATTCTAGGGGCAAGCTTTCGCTTGCAGACATGCATCTTGTTTTATGGTGCAAAGATGGTGTAGACTGTTCTCACGTAGGTGTCATCAGGTGGAGGCTTCTTCTTGCTGCCAGGTTCAAGGAATCTCTTAATTGTAGGTACATTACTTATTTTTACTGAGTACTCCTGAAAAAGGATAACACAAAAAATTCAAGCATAACAACAAAGGTTTTAATTTCTATGAAAATAAGTTTACATAAAATGGCCCATCAAAATTTGTTCAATAAATATTCACTGATGGTGGAAAAAAGCAGCTATTGGCAAAGTTGTAGAGAAACCAAACACATAATGAATGTTAGTGGCAATGCAAAATGGTGCAGTTGCTATGGAAAACTGGGAGTTCCTCACAAAGTTAAACACAGAACTACCATGTTGTTGTTGTTGTTATGTGTCATCAAGTCAGACCTGACTCATAGCGACCCCTCCTTGGGTTTCCGAGGCAGTATCACTATGGAAGTAGATTGCCCCATCTTCCTTCTGAGGAGTGGCTGGTGGGTTTGAACCACCAGCCTTCTGATTAGCAGTCAAGTGCTTTAGGCACTATGCTACCAGAGCTCCCAGAACTAACATATGACCCAGCAATTCCACTCCTTTTCATACTTATTTCAAGAGAACTTGAAAGCAGCAATGCAAACACACACATGTACAGTAGTGTTTGCTGCAGTACAATTGCCAAAAGGTGGAAAAAAACGAAATGTCCATCAACAGATGAATGGATTTTAAAAAGGTGGTGTATAGACATACAATGAAAACGCATTTGACTGCTAACCAAAAGGTCAGTGGTTCAAACTCACCAGCTGCTCCACTGAAGGAAGACGGGGTAATCTACTTCTATAAAGATTTACTGCATCAGAAACCCAATGGGGGTTGCTATGAGTCAGAATTGACTCGATGGCAGTGAGTCTGGGTTTTTATAGAAAGAAATAAAGTCCTTGATACAAAATGGATGAACCTTGAAAACATTATGCTGAGTAAAGTCAGACACAAAACAACAAACACTGTATGATCTTATTTATGTAACATATCATGAATAAGCAGTTTGCTGACCCCTAGTAACCGCCAGCCTTCTGGTTAGCAGTCACCACCAGAGCTTCCTTTAGTAAACAGGAAAGTTCACTGGACTTGGAGATAAAAGGCTAAAACGTCTATTTGAAACCACCAGCTGAGCCATTTTGGCTGCTTTACCCTGGGTCTCTATTTCCTCATGTGTATATTAAAGGCATATTTTTTTAAAGTCCTTTTCTGTTTTAAAATTCTACAATAAATCCTACCAGAATGCTCCAAGAGCAAGCTGAGTCTCCTCGGATCTCCCAGGAAAAAAAGCACTAGGAACTCTTTGGGTTGACATTTAGGCTGCCTCTTATTAGTTCTGAGAAGTTAAGGCTGAGAGTTTCCAATTAGAGACCTCGTTATTTCTGAGAAAGGGAGTCATGCTCCAGTATGAGACTGTTTCCAGTGCTAACCTCTCCTGCCCTCCCATCAGTCCACACAGGACTGACAGATGAGGAATATCTCCTCTCTAAAATTATCTCTGTGCAAACTCTCAGTTGGCAAATTCTCTGCATATGGAGTTTGCTCCAAGAGTATATTTGTGGAACAAAACTAAGATGAAAACTTCTTTAACATGTAAATGATTTTTCAAATCTAAGGACTTGGGGAGCAACAAAACAACACAATTTCAAGTCTGTACTTTCATTTGACTTTGCTGACAGGAATCGAAAAAAATAACACACAGACACACACCCCCTAAGCCAACCCAGACCCAAGAGCTCTGGGCCAATCTTCTAATACATGGTTTTTATTCACCTGAAGGTAAGGAAATACAGAGAGGATATTAGGAACTTTCTCTTCTAGAGCCAAAATGGTTTGAAGTAAAATCACGTCTGCAAGGCTCAGCTGGTTCCCAACGAGAAAGTTTTGTCCATGATCTCTTAAAATCTGCAGGATATCAAGATTTTGTATCAATTAGGATACTTTACATAGAGAAACTGATAAAGTTACTGAATTAGTGCAGTATCTGAGAAGGGGATGGAACCAGGGCCTTGTTCTTTTCATACTTTTTTACATTCTCTTTTCTTTTTGAATTGAAATTTTTTTTTTTTTTTTAATATTTCTTCTAGTTCAAGAAAAGAGGTTTCTGAAGCCCAGAAAAGTGGCTAGAGTAAAAAGAAGAGGAAAAGAAAACAGAAAACACAAAGTGCAAAGGAAAGAGAAACAACACTGAAATGATTCTTCATATCCAGTTATCACCAGGACGCCTGATACAGAATAGCTGTCCAACAAATGTTTGTTCAATGAATGAGGTTGTTTCTGGGCCTTCCTGTGTCTTACACAAGGTGGGAACTTGGTGAATTCAAAGAATGACTGTGTATAAATATGTGAATCCATTCTCTTTCCAGACTTCTGGTGAAGCTTGAGGGTATCCAAGACATCTGGCCGTGTTCTGGGGGCTGCCGGCAGCTCTTATGAGCCCAGGAATATTAGCTCCTTGGGCTTAGCTTTATACCACACTGAGCAGAAAAGGGTGTTTGTGGCAGATCCCTTGTGGTTGAGTGATGCCATGTTCATAGGCTTCTCTGCTACCTACCTTTTCAAACACAGGAAAGTATCTGATCACAGCCTTCTGGGTCATGTTAACCACTTCCTTTTGTTGATCATCTGGTTTTAAGAAAGGATGCATGATAATCATTTCCAGAAGATCCAGTGTCCCCTCCACATACATGTCAATCCTTAAAACAAAGAAAGAAAGCAGTTTTCTGTCTCCCATCTCTGTGAACTCATTGGCTATTCAAAGTGGTCTTTCCTAAGGCCCTGGCAACTTAAGTACTAAGAAGGATTTACCTACACCTGCCTCTTAAGAGCAAAGCTGCGAAGTCCATTCTAGATGTAATCTGGAGAAACATCTGCCTCAAATTAGAAAACATGATTGTCATGACTATCTCTTCTCCCCAGCTCCTGCTTCACCACCCTCACTGTCTCTCACTGTCTCTCAGCATGTCTCTTCACATTTATAAAAGTAGTGAATATCATTTATTCGAATGCTGGGTGTCCATCAGGTATGGTGCCAAACACTCCACATCCATTATCTTATTGAATGTACAAAGCTATGAAGCATGCACTGTTTTTGTCCCCATTGTAAAGGAAACTCATCAGGAAACGGAAGCTTAACACACAGTCCAGGGTCATGCATCTAGGAGTTGGAAGAACCAGGCTTTGAGTTCAAATGATAACCCAATGCACAGTGCCCCAGGTCTAAAAGTCTCAGCAGCTTCCCATGAATCAATGACAATAAATTTGCAAGGAAGATAAAAGCAATACTCTAAAATTAAAGCATTTAAGATGTTGAAACCTGAAACAATGACACCTCAGATACAGGACGGAATACCTGAGGTTCAATTGTTTTCTAAGCTTTACTCAGACTCTCTGAACTGAATTTTCAACTGGTCTTTTTGCCATTTCTGGATCTTTGCTCCCTGTCCCGCTAATGATACAAGACATTATGGAGATGATGTTGGCTGCAAAGTCTGCTAATCAGCTAAGGCCTCAGTAAGCTGACAGTGAGAACACTCAAGAGTGGCCACAGTACAGGGTTTTCTCCTTCAGGTCACTGCCAAAGAGATGGTGCTTTTCTGCTATGTAGTGGAGAATGCTTCGGGTCTGCACCAACTTCATCCCATCAATTTCAACCATTGGCACTTGTTGGAACAGCAGGTGGTTACCTGAGAATGGAAGCACAGATTCCGCATAATCACTTCTCGCCTCCCCCCCCGGCCCTGCACAACAGTGGTCATTTGTATAAAGGGGGACAGTGGGGCCATACCCTTAGGAAATAGTTTAAACCATCCTGATATCCCATAATCTCAATTTCGTTCAGGGCAAACAAGAGCAGATTTAGCCATAAAAGAAGCCTGGAAAGTAACAGTGTTCTCAAGCTTCCCTTTTCATTTTCACCCTCAGGAAAAGACAGCTGTCCACACTGGAGACAAGGTAGAGGGGAACACAGTTAGATATTTCTTTTGAGCTGCATTGGACAAAAAGACAGCTACTGGCTGGGTGTGGCTATTTAAATCTAAATTTTAATTAATTAAAACTAAGTAAAATTTAAAAATGAGTTCCTCCCTCAGACTAGATGTATTTCAAGTGCTCAGTAGCCACATCTGGCTAGTGGCTACCATATTGGAGAGGGCAGTAGAGAACATTTCCATCACTGGAGATCATTCTACTGGAGAGGGCTGATAACGAAACTACATCACCAGCTGATACCCATGAATGCTCCCCTTCTACAGTCACAGACCACTTACTACACAAGTTTTCTGTCATTTGTCAAAAAGTGCCTGTTAATATCTTCAACAAATCTGCATCAAACACTATCCACATGGGTAGAGAGAGATGCAGGGGTAAGATACTGGCAACCTCAAGAAGCTACGGATTGGGGACTGCAGTGAATTGCTTGATGTGGCCCTTCTAGCCATTGTCCTCCATTCTGTGATGTTTTGCCAATCCCATTATCCATGCCTGTGTAGGGTGGTGTGGTAGTTAAGGTCAGGTATCAACTTGGCTGGGCAGCTGGTAGTACTCGTTCCCTATAATGACTGGCAATCAACTCTGTGATGGGATTTAGGTTATTTCTGTTAGGGCAACACAGGTGGAATGCATCTTGAGTCCTGCCTTGCTAGAGGGTATAATTCAAATCACCACCCTTAGCTTCCTTGAGCATATACCTATGAATCTCCTGGGAAGATTCCCCTTCCTCCTGCTCTGGTTTTGTATCTTGGCTCATCCTCATCTCACCCCTGGATTTGGGACAGCAGCCGTCATCTGATCTGCTGATCAAGGTTAATCAAACCCCGAGAATTAGGAGGATCCTCCAGACCTACTCACAGGCCTGGGACTCGCCAGCCTGCCAGCCTCCACCACTATGTGAGATGATCCCTTGGGTGTCTGTGAGTTCTGTGAGGTGCTATAGTGAAATACAGAACTCTAAGACTGGGGAAATTACTGGGAGGAGGAGGAGGAGTTAATGTCTGAAATGATGGAGTGGTGCAATAGTTTGGACTTTGGGACATCTTTAACTTCTGCCTCATGGGGACTGGCCTTGTGCTGATCTTTCTGAGAGAAATTGTTCAAGCAGGGACGGTAGGGGTAGAGGGAAGATAAGTACTCAGCACATGCCTGGTGGCTGCAGGTCAGGGTCATGCATAGACTGTGGCATTATAGTCCTGCAGAGCTGCTCCCTCTCAAGTTCAGTTGAGGCTGGGGACCCTCCTGATGGCTGGTGAGAGGAGGATTCTTATAGGAGTGTTGTTGTTACTGCCTCAGAGTTGGCCCCTGACTCATGGCAACTGCACACACAGTGGAACAAGATGTTGTCTAGTCCTGCACTAGTCCCATTATCAGTTGGGGTCACACTGTTATGCTGTGATCCATAGGGTTTTCACTGACAGTAGATCACCTTTCTTCCTAGTCCATCTTAGCCTGAAGGTCTGCTAAAATGTGTCCAGCATCCTAGCAACTGGCAGATGTGCAGCGGCTATGCATGGAATCAAATCAGGGTCTGCCCATAGGGAAAGTGAAAATTCTACCAGGCAGCCACCACCATTGCCAGGCTTTGGGTTGAATAAGAAACAATTTCTTGGCAACTTTAGCAATCTCTCTTGATTTGCTGGTTTTAGGATACCATTCTCAAGGTTTATGTCATCAGCACCTTTGTCCTCTCTTATAAATATCAGTTCTGTTTCAAAAAAATCATTAAATACAGCTATTTCCTTTTCATACTCACCATTCTGCAATCTCTGCAACTGCTCTCTTGTTTCTAAAAATTCTTCATCAAACTAAAGGAAAAACAAGGTAACCCCACCCCCCAAAAGAAAGAATATGTCATTATAGGTTCAGGTCTGAAAATACCCAGTTAAATTGCCCCAAGAAGGCCAGAAAAAGAACACAGCACCCATATCTTGGTTTCTAGTATCACTGCCCCCTGAAAGGAACCAGGGCTCCTAGGAGAAAGGTCTAGGGCAGGGAAGTGCTTGTTATTCTAGAAAGCAAGGAAGTGCTCAAAGACTAACGGAATGTGTCAAAGGCAACAGTATCCTAAGGAATCCTGGCGGCACAGTGATAAAGTGCTCGATTACTAACTGAAAGGGCAGTTCAAACCCACCAGCTGCTCCTCCGGAGAGTTTTGTGGCAGTCTGCTTCCATAAAGATTACAGCCTTTGAAACCGTATGGGGTACTTCTACCCTATAGGGTTGCTATCAGTTGGAACTGAATTGATGGCAATGAGTTTGGGGTTTTTTTGTTTATCATATCCAACTTGAAAGAACTTCACTAACCAGATTTGGGGCAATTTGAGCTCAAAAAGAACAATGTCAGTTATGGATTAAAACATACACCAACAAAAAAAAATCCATAAATTCATACATGATAATAATTAAAAGAAAAAGGGAGGTGGAGGAAGCAGCTCTTTGTGGAAGAGTATCACTAATTAATGTAGGATTAATGCTAACTTGTGTTAAAATGAGAAAACCACCAATTTGTAGTGCCTAAGGCACTTGACTGCTAACCAGAAGGCTGGTGGTTCAAACCCACCAGCCACTCCTCAGAAGGAAGGTTAAATCTACTTCCATAGTGATACTGCCTCGGAAACCCAAGGAGGGGTTGCTATGAGTCAGATCCGTCTTGACAGCACATAACAACAACAACAATGTAATAAGTGATTCTATAAGAATTATAAATGGATGCTAAAATCATTGGGCTTCTGGGGACAGTATATTTATAGAGTGTCAAATTATCACCCCACAAATTAGTTAATTACAGAAGAATAGTTACAATGAAGCAATCTGGGGAATCCCACCATCTATCTAATCAAGTGACCAAATTTAGCATCACCAGTGGGTAGAAGAGCACAGTATGATCTGTAAAGAAAATGTTTAACCTGCATGTAATCATGAGGTCAAAGTAAAGTCTATTGAAAATGTGGGGCATTCTCAACCTAATGGCCTGGATTCCTCAGAGAAGTCAAGGACATGGAGTGGGGAGGAGAAGCAGGGTTAGATTAAAAGACATTAACAAATCATAACAACCAAATACATAAATAGTAATTAGATCCCAGATGGAAGTGAATGGTCACATCTGCCATATCCCTATATAACAGCTACAGAGACACTTTGAGAACAATATGGAAAATTTTAATACAGATTATATATTTGTTGTCTATTTGAGGCTCCGACTCATAGGGACCCTATGTACAATAGAATTAAACAATGTGTGGCCCTGTGAAACCTCATGATCCTTGCTGTCCCTGAGCCCATCATTGCAGCCACTGGGTCAATCCATCTCATTGAGGGCCTTCCCCTCTTTTGTTGACTTTCCACTTTACCAAGCATGATATCCTTCTCCAGGGAATGGTCCCTTCTGACAACATGACCAAAGTAGGTCAGACAAAGTCTGGCTATTCTCTCTTCCAAAGAGCATTCCGGCTGCACTCCTTCCAGGACAGATTTGTTAGTCTTTTGGCAGTCCTTTCAGTAATCTGTGCCAACACCACAACTCAAAAGCATCAACTCTTCTTTGGATTAGATGTTATAAAAAACGTTAATGTTCTTACTTATGACAATCGTATTGTGGTTATTAGGACACTTGTTTATCCTTTCTTGGGAAGGAGATAGATGCTGATGTGTGTAACTTACTTTCAAATGATTCAAGAAGAAGATGAAAAAAGCAGAGAATGAGACTAAGAGAAAGAGCAAGGGAAGGAGGGCAGAGAGATAAAGTCATGTAGCAAAATGTCAACAATCGATGAATTCTGAAGAAAGAGATTCACGTGGCCAATGTACTCTTACAACTTGTCTTTAGGTTAAAAGTTTTCAAATTTAAAAATTGGGGAAAAAAATGGTAAAAATAACTTCCTCTTCACTTGACCTTATAGAATATAAGGTCTGAAATATTCTGCAAGGAGCTCTGATGGCACAGTATTTAAGAGCTGTTTCAATTCCAAAAGTTTGAATATTGTATGAGACCTCTACTGTAAAAAGTCAGGAAATGGGTTTCACAAAAAAAATGAAAAAGAAATATTCTTTGATGGTTACCAGGGGTAAGTGGAGAAGGGCGGGAAAAGCATTAACTAGACGGTAGACACATATTAACTTGGGAAAAGGGAAAGGCAAGAAAAAAAATGTGCTCCCTTTTGACACAAAAAAAGAAAAGACAGAAGCAAATAAAACTACCATATAATAGCAGCACACAGAGTACAGCACAGTGAATTCCTTAATATGGCCCTTCTAGTCATCGTCCTCCATTTTCTGATGTACTGTAAATCCTAGTTTCTATGCTTGTTTACAAACAAAAAACAAATTTACTCATAGTGACCAATCCTTGTGGCCAGTGGGTTTGAACCGCCAGCCTTCTGGTTAGCAGTCAAATGCCTTAGGCACTACACCACCAGAGCTCCCATGCTTGTTTAGGGTGGGATGCATTTTGAGTCCCACCTTGCTGGAGAGTGTGACTCAAGTCATCACACTTAGTTTCCTTGAGGATACATATGTAAATGTTCTAGGAAAGTTCACTGTCTTGCCGCAATGGACTTGAGGTAGCAGCCAGGTCTTCTGACCTGCCGATTTGGGTTCGCAAGAGCCCACAACCATGCAAGTGAGGAGAATTCTCCAGACTTACCCATGGATTTGGGACTTGCCAGCTTCCCAGCCTCCACCACCAAGTGAGCCATTTTCTTGGCAGTTTGTGAGTTATGTGAGACATTACACCAAAATACGGAACCCTAAGACAGGAGGAGAATACTGAGGGAAGAAAGGGGAGTTGGTGTTAGAGATGATGGAACAGTACAGCAGATTGGAAAAGTTGGACATTTGGGATGTCTTTAACCTCTGCCTCACAGTGACCAACTTTGTGCTGATCCTTCTAAAAGAATTTATTCAAGCACAGAGATGTGCACTGTTGACAGGTAGGGGTGGTCCCTTTAATGGTTGTGAGAGGTCAACACACACCTGTGTATGTGTGCTATTTAAAAAAAAAAAAGAAAAACTCATCTGCTAACAGAAGACTGGCAGTTTGTATCCATCAGCTGCTCTGCGGGAGAAAAATGTGGCTGTCTGCTTCCATAAAGATCACAGCCTTGGAAACTCTATGAGACAGTTCTACTCTGTCCTATAGGGTCACTATGAGTTGGAATTGATTCAACAGCAGTGTGTTTTTTTGGTAAGATGTTCTGTAGGAATGTACTTCCTATCAATAAGAGGAGGCCTCACTCTTGTGGACCAGACTAGTGGAGGGAAGAGCAATGCTGACTGCAGAGATGGATCAGGCAGTTCTCCATCCCCCTCTCCTCCAACCTAAACTAGTTGGTCCTGATGGGAGGACTGAGATAACTGGACCTAGGCTTGTCACCAGGGTCCTCATGGTGTAAGGAGAGGGGCCTCAGTGCTCTGGAGCAATCTCCATCTGAGAGCTCTCCCTCCTCTGGCTCCCTGACCAATGAATGGTAGCCTCAGGGCAACAGTTCTGGTTCATCTGTCCCAATGCCCAGATGGTGCTCCCTCTAGGTTACAGCATCTCAAAGTTTTATGATCACAATCATTAAAATTACATGGGGGAGAGGGGAACCTGTCTGAGCTGATTGATTGGAGGCCTCCCCAAGATGACTGCCCTGAGATATTCTTCAAACCTTGAAGAAAATATAAGGGGGCAGGGAAAAGTAAATTAATGGTAAAAGATCCAGCAGAACAGAAATAATGGGAATGTTCATGCATTGTGAAGAATGTAACCAATATCACTGAACAAGCTGTGTGGAAATTTTTGGATGGGAACCTTCACTGAGAATACACAAAAAAAATATTATTTAAAGAAAGAAGAAAAGACACATGGGAAAGTGAAGGGGGGCATATTAAACCCCAGGCCTGCCTTCCAGAGATTCACACTGGGTAGTTCAGAGGAGCCCAAGATATTCCTTTATTAAATAAGTCCTTCCAAATGATTTTGATCCTGATTTTTGAGGCTAGAGTTTTGGGTACACATGTGCAAAATATGACCCTCACCAGCAATAACTCTCTAGTGTCAAGCTTTATAAAACTATTGGTCAGTAAGAAGAAATCAAGGAGTTCCGGTAAGATGGTGGACTAGGCAGAAAGACTGCACAGACCATCTTCAACAAAGAAAAGGGAAACCAATTAACACAGACACAGAAGATAATCCTGGACCCCTGAGCTTTGAAGGGAAGGATGAAGAAGTGGACTAAACCCCAACTAGCAAAAGAATTTGCATGAAAATACCAAAAAAGGAGACAGACGGAGCTGTGGTCTGGTAGCGATCCTGAGCAATCCTGACGGCATGGCACAGACAGCTTGGAGATTCCCAGTGGTGGTAGGACCTAAGACTTAACCTAAAAATCAGTCCTGCTAGCCAGGGACTGCACAGAGGACTGCTCTGGTGGCTGGGGAATAAACAGAGAAGGTGAAGAGAAAGGTGGGCTGAGCTGTGGACTTTTGCCGGTCCAGAGGACACCACCATTTTGAATGTTTAAAAGCAGCTTGACTATTTTGGATATTTAAAGAGACAGTGCTCTCCCAGATTCCTGGGGCTTAAGAACACGTGCTGCTTTCCAGCAACCCCAAGGACACTCTGGACCTACAAGACTGAAAAAGTACGGCATTCCTCTTGCTATTCTTATACCCCACACCCGCTTGGTGAATGGAGGTGCAGCCAGTCCCCACTCCCACCTACCTTCTGGGCCCACAGGAACTCCATCACAGTCTGTGTGCTCAGACAGAGCCTGGGTGCCCTGCCCTTTCCTCCACTGATTTTT